ATAATTTTAGATGGGTTTTGATGGTTTGTTTTTTGGTCGTGCTGATTATGATGATTATACAACACGTAATAGAACAAAAACTATGGAAATGGTTTGGAAAGCAAGTGCAAATTTAGGTGAGTAAAAGATAACTAATTGTAGTTTGAATATTAATTTGACTAAAAGATAACTTGAAAATGTATGTAAATTTTAGATCGTCAAAGTTGGTTATTCACTGGTGTTTTACCTAATGGATATGGTCCACCAGGCTCGTTCTGTTTTGATAATTTCTGTGATGATGCACCGATTATGGTTTGTTGAAAATTTTTGACACATTTATTTCTTTATTTTATTTGCGTGCATGTTTTACTCACGTGAACATCCTGCGTGTTAGCATTTATACACTACTGAATCCTTTATTTCTTGGATCTTTGTCTGTTCATATACATCCCTTATGACATGATTGCTTATTTTTCACCTTTTTATTTTCTTATATAAGAAAACAAAGAAGATCTTTATTTGTATATTTACTCTAGGATGATCCACGATTACACGATTACAATGTTCCAGAACGTGTCCAATCATTCATTCAAGCAGCTCACAATGAGGTATGTACATTTTAAAAAAGTGAATAAAACAAATATTTCTTGACGATCTAATATAATAATCAAGTTAAAAGACTACGAAAATCATATTAATAGTTATTTATTGGGAAATAATAAAACACATAATGGAAAACTTTCGAAAATCAATTTTGATTTAAAAGTATAGTAGAACAATAGCGAGACTAAGTAGTTGATTAAAATAACTTATTCAGAATTATTTATTCTTAAACTTATTTTTATCAGGCTGTTGGCTTTGCTACTAATCATATAATTATGACAATGGGTAGCGATTTTCAATACGAAAATGCAAATGAATGGTTCAAAAATATGGACAAATTAATTAGATATGTAAATGCTCAAGTATGTTTGTCAAGCTATACTGTTTTTTTCACAAAAAAAAAGTTATGTTTTTAAAATTGATATGTAGCAAGTCAATGGTAGCGATGTTAATGTTTTCTATTCAACACCATCATGTTATTTATATGCCTTGAATAATGTCAGTCATAATTGGACCTCGAAAACTGATGATTTTTTTCCATATGCTCATCATCCTCATGGATTTTGGACAGGTTATTTTACATCACGAGCAGCTTTGAAACGTTATGAACGTCATTCAAATAATATTTTACAAGCTACAAGACAACTCAATGCATTAGCTAATCTTAATTTACGAAATAGTATTTTCTTTCTAAGTAAGAATAATCTATTTTGAAATTTATACATGAAAGATTTAATTTTGTTATGAAATTCAGGTGAAGCAATGGGTGTTGCTCAACATCATGATGCTGTTAGTGGTACAGAAAAACAAGAAGTTGCATTTGATTATGCTCAACGATTGGCTGTCGGTATTAATGTTGCTTCTGTAAGTATTTGAATAATTCTATCTTCAAGCTTTCATTGACAAAAAAAAAACTATATCCAGATCAAATTAATAAGAACTTACTATCATTCTAAAATGAGTGCTGGCTTTACTCAAGATAAAAGATCATGATAATCATAAGTATTCATATTATATCTTTTAGGGTATTATCAATCAAGCTTATTCTAAACTATTACCCAAAAGTAGTCAATCACCACCATCACCAACTCAATTTCTATGTCAATTAACTAATATCAGTGAATGTGTACCAGTTCAAGATCAAACTCGAGTAATCACTTATTACTATTTCTTATTCTTATTCTTTCTTTTATTAAACAGTTCACAGTAACACTTTGGAATCCAACTATAAATCCAGTTCTTCAGCATTTCCGTGTACCTGTCACAAGAGCTTATACAGTTCGTGATCCAACTGGACAACCTATTTTGTCTGAGGTAATGAACTCAAGAGTATGATTAAATTAATTATCGTTGGTTTTTTTTTCTAGATTATTCCTGTTTCGAATGCAACAAAGAACATTCCTGGTCGTGCTAGTACTGCTACAAATCAATTAATCTTTAGAGCAAGTTTACCAGCACTTGGTTTTAACACCTATTTCTTTGAAGCAAAAAGTAATATTTTGTTTCATATCATATTCAATATTATAATAAAAAAAATTGTTTGGTCTAGCTGATGAAAAACATGAAAAACCAAAAATAAAAATTACAAAAAATGATGAATGTATTTTACAAAATCAAGTTAGACAACAAAAAACAACCAATATGTTACATATATATATGATCTCTTATTTTGTAGAATCTTCGAGTTGAAATTGATGCTCAAGGCAATCTTGGACATATTGTTAATCTAAAAAAGAGCTTTGATGTAGCATTTACAAGTCAAGGTTTCTATTTCTATCAAAGTAAGTCAACAATCATCATATGTTCATTACCACTAATATTCGCCACTTTCTTATAATTCAGGTTTTCCTGGTAATAATTCTCGATCAGAATTTCAAGCATCAGGTGCTTATATCTTCCGACCATTAACACCAACTGCAGTACCAGTTAGTCAAACACGTTCAATGTATGTCTTTTTTATTTTCTAGATATTTTTTCTATTCATTTTTAATATCATTTAGTACATGTATAAAAGGAGAGAGTGTTCAAACAGCAGTCATTGTTTTCAATGATTGGGCAAGTCAAGAAATAAGTTTATATGATGAGGCAGAGTTTGTTGAAGTTGAATGGACAGTTGGACCAATTCCAATAGGTGACAATATTGGCAAAGAAATTATTATTCGTTATGATACTGATATTGCAAGTGGATCAAAATATTATACGGATGCAAATGGACGTGAAGTTCTTGAAAGAAAAAGAGATTATCGACCAACATGGAATTATACAGTTGTTGAAACAGTAAGTGGAAATTATTATCCAATTAATAGTCGAATATGGATTAAAGATGACAATCGACAATTTACTGTTCTTACTGGTAAGAATAAAATAAATGAAAATAAAAGATTCGAATAATTTATCATAGAGTTCAAAATAAAAAGTGTAATTCTATCGATTAATTTCTTTCTATTTATACAGATCGATCAGAAGGTGGTGGTAGTATTCAAAATGGTTCTATTGAAATTATGGTACATCGACGTATTCTTAATGATGATTCACTTGGTGTTGGCGAAGCTTTGAATGAAAGTGCATATGGTCAAGGTCTTGTTGTTCGTGGTCGACATTTTCTTCTTGTTGAACCACCAGCTTCAAGTGCTCGATATCATCGTATTGGTTCTCAACGTTTATACATGCATCCAATTGCTACCTTTGCAACTAATCTACAAGACTATGAAAGTTATTCAGCTGCTTATTATCAAACATGGTCAGCATTAACAGATACATTACCATTAAATGTTCATTTATTAACATTAGATCAATTAGGACCAAAAGATTATCTTATTCGTGTTGAACATTATTTTGAATTATTAGAAGATGATACATTTTCAAAACCAGTTACATTTGATTTACAATCATTATTTAAATCTATAGGATTAATTAGTAATACAGTTGAACTAACACTTAGTGCTAATTTACCATTATCTGATATGCGACGACTTAATTGGATAACTGGAGATGGACAATTATCTGAAATGGAAATTTCTAGTAAATTGTTCAAACAAGAAATCTTTTCTTATTAGAGAATTTTGCTCTGTTTTTTTTTTTTAGAAGAAAGATCATTAACAGATACAAATATCACATTGAATCCAATGCAAATTCGAACATTCCAAGTAACAGTGGCATAAATGATCAATTAACGAAAAAAACAACGAACAGTGATTAGACATTCATTTTATTTGTCTTTGTTTAAATGGCATAGAAATATATTTTCATTCATTCTTTTTTTTTTAAATTGTCATCAATAATTAGGATCAAAAATAAATAAATAATTTTAAAGATTGATTTGTTCTTATACGTATGTATAGATATGCAGAAAAGAATAATGTTACTGTTTTTAATGGTTGCGATCAAGAATAATTTGAACAGATTGGTATTTTTATTCATGGATTGATAGAGATAAAAACGTTCTTCTTAGAAGTAAAACTAACTATCTAAGTGTTTTTTTTCACATATAATAAATTCAAGTTGTTTCATATATCATGAAAACAAAAGAAGGAAAATTACTTGTTGTAATGCTATTATAAAATCGTTTATGAAAATTAAATGTACAAATGAACAAATAGGATAGAAAAAGGAATTGAATAGATGCTATGTAGTATTACACGATTTCACAACAGCTTTAATTATATACTTCTTGAAATTAATATTATTAAAATTTTGATTAGTATCATATTAGTATTCAGGAAATGCCATGTTTATTTCTCATAGAACATACTATTTGGTTAACAAATGACAGATCCGAAATGTTTGGTGACAATTCCAATTATGAAATCTTAAAATATTTATAGCACCTTTAGTCTAATTTAAATGGGTATGATTATATGTAATATATTCATTTTACATTCTCATGACTTTCATTCATTATTCTCTCTCGCTTTTACAATCGCTCAAAACAACGGTTAGAAGTGTAGTATGCTCGAGCATCTATTAAAGCATGTAACATTTATTCCTCTTTTCTTGTTCCGATTTCTCTATAACTTATTGCTTTGTCTAAAAGAAAATATCATTGTCAGAGGTATCTTCAAGTTATATGCAATCATCTATTTTTTTTCTCCCTCTCTATCTCTCTGTGTATTTTTCTTATCTACCATTATCAAAAACCAACTGATGTGCAAAGTAAATTTTAGTCATAATATCTTTTGCTCACAAATTTATAGATAACATCAACTTATAAATTCATTTTTATACCAACGTGCACTATACGTGGCAGTGTTCTCTACTCTCCTGTCCTGTGTTAACCACATACTGTAAGTTCAAATAATCATTGCATCTTTGAATTCAAATCATTTGTTTGTTTTTTAAAGTTGTGGTTTTTTTAAAACAATGCATACCTCAACATATTGCGGATTGATACTTATTCTTGTCGCTAGCTGTTTTTCAGCCCCAATCAAGGGATCCAATGGATGTGGTTATGAAGTGAGAAAGTTCAAAAAAAAACCATTCGTTCGTTATATTAAATATGACCTTCGTTTTAGGCATGCAATTTAGGTGTTGCAAATAAGCTCAATGTTCATATTGTTCCACATACACATGATGATGTTGGATGGCTGAAAACAGTCGATCAATATTACTATGGAGGTGTATAAATATCTTTCGAATTGCTTTGTTATATTCTATAGATCTTATAATTTGACAATTAATTATAATATATTCTTTAATAATAGAGATTAACAATGAAATATCAACGTTATTTTTCTATTGTTTCTCGAAAAATGTTCTCACTTTTCACAACAATCCTAATTATAGAAACAAATAGAATGTATTAGTTATTGAATTTATTACACTAACGTAAAAAGTGGGAAGATCAATAGTAGAATTTCAAGTTATTGAAAAATCTTAATGTCATAGAATTGTTTTCATTTTTTGTTTAATAATTATTTTATTAAATCTATGTTTTATTCTATTAAGCTCGCAATTATATTCAACATGCTGGTGTACAATATATACTTGATTCAGTTATGCTTGCACTTGACGAAAATCCTGAACGACGTTTCATCTATGTTGAAATGGGCTTTTTTTGGCGTTGGTGGAATCAACAAACAGATGCCATGCGTGATAAAGTGAAACAATTTGTTTACGATGGTAAACATTTTTTTAAATAATATTTTTTTTGCAAGATGAACTTTTTTTCAAAGGTCGTCTTGAATTTATTTCTGGTGGTTGGTGTATG